GCGCGTGAAGCGCGCTCGCGTGGGCGGAGCCCTGTAGCTAAGTAAATCTACCCGGCCCACTGAAATTTGATAATCACGTAACCGTATACCGACCGACCGACCGACCGTCCGTCCGCACCACAAGGAAACCAATGTTTACTCTCAAAGTCGGAAATCCTTTTTCGGAGGGCATCGTTTTTGTTTTTAATCTTGCTCGATGCGTAAGAGGGTTTAAAAGTCTTAAGCGATTTTGGCCTTACTTGATTGCTTTCAGGGGGCTGCATCTAGAATGGTAAGCCTGAGTAATTATTGTATTTGATGTTTGTTCTTTTATATGTAATTTCATGAAGTCAAGCACAGTTTATGCGGCAAGTGTATGCACGCGTGCATACACTTGCCGTACACTCATACACTTACACGCATGCAATCTTAAACTTACAACGGAGTCACTTGTTTCCACCATGTTTAAGTTTACGGATACTTGATTTTTCGTCCTGTGACGTTTGTAAGATTTGAGACAATGACCTGACGGGTTTGATATAAGCTTACAGAACTTAAAGAAGCCCTTTAGATATATTTTCTCCCTGCAGATAGAGAGAAACTTTCCTAAGAATATTTAGTTATAAATTTGGCTGTACAAAGAAAACTTTGAGCGACTTTCTTGCCTCGTCGAGTTCATCATTGAAAAAAGCAAACACCGGGAAGCCGCCTTAAAACATAAACTTAAGCTTTAAAAAATCTTAAAGACTCAGGGTTTTTAGAGAAAGTATAATACTTGTCTTTGTGAATGAAAATTGTTGTCTCTGTAAATGTTTCACCGAATTATATTTCTTCTATTAATTGTTAGTAGTCTCTCTTGCAATATTAATCGCTGAGCCGTTTGTTTTTAGTCGTTCATGAACTAAATCTCTAGAAGAATTTCTCAAAATGCCGCGCGTATCAAACGCTTTTTAAGATTACACATCTTAATGAAACCATTACATAAAAAAATAACAATAATAAACATAATTCTTTATTATGTTGAAGCGTGACTGTTAATGCTCATTCAAACACTCAACCACAGCTTGTCAAAAGTGAGAACCGGCTGGCCCTATAGGTGATTTTGGAATTTTTTTTTTTTAACAGTATCGCTAAAAGCCCACGATTGTTCACCCGAATATGGACTGAGTGCAATTTGTCTTGAAAAGTTGTGAAATATTGCTTTCTGTCCGAGGTCTGTATGATAAATACAGCGCCTCATAGTACTGTTTCACATCAGATGTGATGTATAAAAAGTACAAAAGGTTGGTTTACAAACCTCTAGATTTGTTGGTAAGATCTTGTAAAGGAAACGAGTCGAACGCAAAAAATTCTGTTTTCCAATAATTTGTTTTCCAAGATGATTGCTATGTTTTGGGTGTACATTTAAGGTTATCAACTCGATGTAAGATGTTTCACTCTAAAATCACTTACCCTTTCCCTCAAAAGTCATATGAATGTGCCCTTAAGTTAACTGATTTGTGGATTATTGTTTGATTTAAATTATGAATTTATTACTAGGAGCTTGGCTAAATCTATTTAGTATATACTAAAACAGTGGATAGTGTTTTTCGGGCGCTCTGATTGGCTACTCAATCAGGGAATATCCTGCACTATTCACTGATTCACCTTCAGTTTCTCCGAGCGAGCAAAATGCCTTCCGGTTTTGCTGCCGTAACGAACAAAGAAATGTTACAACTAATCAAGCTAGATGTTTCCGAAATACAGGAAGAAGGTGATGAAGTTTGGTTTGAGTTTTAACAGGGGTAAATCTTTGTCTTTTTGACCTGAATTTATCGATAAAATCGGTGAAAAAATTTTTGTTTACAAAACAAATTAAGCTTTAGTCTTGCGTTACTTTTAAGTTGAATTGTTCATAAATAAGCTTAAAACTAAATTTAATAATCTTTTTTTAGAGAATGATTTTAAATAGAAAAAGAATTCACCACTCCTTTTGAAGAAACTTCGCCGCAAGAGCTAAACAAATGCCTTCAAAGTTTTATTTGTCGGCAAGACAATGCGACGACCGCAGTCGTTGTACCTTTGATCATTGCGCGCTTAAATTGTAATCGTTGGCAACAGTAAATGAGTTAAAAATTTTCATTTTTGTGCTCAATTATCTCACTGTTTCAGTATATATTAAAACAATTATTCACCTCAGTGTCGGTGGCTAGTGTGGTTGTTATCTCGCCTCTTCGCGGTCTCGGAAAATCTTTCGCTAGCCACCTCCACTTCGGTGAATAATTGTTATATATTATGATCAACTGACAGGTGTTAAAACAGGGTATCCGCTGGTCAGCTCAGGCGCCAACTCTTCGACGTCACCTGTTTTTTTCTTTTTAAGTTTTCTGCTGGCCAGTTGTTACATGTAGCTTTTAACTGATCGCGGACTCAAGTTTATGTTTAAGTTAAGTATAGTTGCGGTCTTTTCAATGGTTTGAAGTTCACTGTCTGCAGTAAATTTAAAATTGTAAAACGGGAGGTTCGCTTTTAGCTCTGGCTAAATCTATCTGATATATTTTTTTGCTCAGATACATCGGATACTTTGACAGCTTCTATGGAAAATAACCGCTCTAAATAGGTTAACTTTTTCTGAAGTAGATAAAGGTTTGGTTCTTTACCGATTTTTCAGCAGATTTTTCAGGACGCTTTGATTTAAAGCATTTCAAGACATATCAATTGGCTTGTTCCAAATATTGAAGGCATTTAATGCCTTCGTTGTTATGTACTTATTTTATGTATCGAATGATTTATTTACCTTTTTTTAGAAATGTGTGAACTTCGAGTCCAAAAAGGCCCCTGTTTTAATATTTCTGAAGGATATTTCCTCGCTATAGCTGAAGAAAACGTAGCTATAGCGTTGCACAAGCTTCGAAACACTAACAGGTTTTATGTCAATATATCGTGGATACCCCCACCAGGTAGGTTAATAACGTACATGTAATATTGTGTTAAGGTGGCTCGATACAGTTTTTCAGGGTCAATAACTCCCAAGTTTGAGCATAAACTACGTTTCCATATTAACAAGGATTTGGAAAAATTGCCACCAAAGTTGTCTCAGATAAAGATGAAAATTTGTTATGATCAGGGTTGCAATGACACTGGAGTTGTCATCGCAACGAAATGACGCTATTACCTATTTTACTTGCAGCGGTTTATCTCGGCACTTGGAACTATTCTTCCAAAATCATTCACAGGAGCTTTTCCTCCATTACCTGCCTCGATGTTCGTGAAGTTTAAGCGAAATCTGTGTGAGTGTTATCGAGATATTTTGGCATGAAGTTTTTATGGTTAGAAACACAATAAAAAATGGACAATATTGATGTTTGGCCGTTATCTGTAGAAAACAAAGCGCTTCTAACATGCAATTTCACCTCATAGTAGTTTCAATCTTTTTAAAAACGTGAGTGAAAAATCATGGAGACAGCTCCAGCCAATTGCTAGAAAGAAGGGTTTAATTAGTACGTATCAAAGCGCTCTTATTAGGGTGTTGTAAACTTTTTGGTCTTCTTTAACAAAATAGCGAATAACTTTTATACTGCTCCATAGATTTTTTAAAAACTTCAACATTCTTGAGATTTTTTATATGAATTTTTAGTTTCACGATTTTTGATATATTTTAAGGCAGTAAAATAAGGGCTACGGGCTACAATTTCCTAATATTTTGTCAGAAATTTTGTGTTTACGAGTGAAAGCCTCTCATTATTCAAGGTATTGTCTCCTAGTTTCATTTTCACGCGAACAGCGGTAACTAACCATGCATTTGAAATATGATGCAAAAAAAACTTGGAGACAATACTCTGAATAATGAGAGGCTCTCACTTGTAAACACAAAATTGTGACAAAATATAAGTGAATTGTTGCCCTTATTTTACTGCCTTACAATACATCAAAAATCTTGAAACCAAAAGGTCATATAAAAGAAAGATTAATCTCAAGAATTTTATTTTTTTTTAAATCTATCGAGCGGTTTAAAAATTATTCGCTAATTTGTTAAAGTAGACCAAAATGTTTACAAACCGCTAACAAAGAGCGCCTCGATACATACTAATCAAATCCTTCTTTCGCAATCAACTTGAGCTATCTCCATGATCTTTCACACATGTTTTTGAAAAGATTAAAACTACTATGAGGTGAAATTGCATGTCAAAAGCGCTTCGTTTTCTACGGATAACAGCCGACATCAAGACTGTCCATTTTTTACCGTATTTCTAACCATAAAAACTTTATCCCAAAATATCTCGATAACGCTCTTACAGATTTCGATTAAACTTCACGAACATTGAGGCCGCTTATGGAGGAAAAAGCTCCCGTGAACGATTTTGGAAGAACAGTTTCCAGTACCGAGATAAATTACTGCAAGTAAAATAGGTAATAGCCGCTATTACTTATTTCGTTGTTATGACAACTCCAGTGTCATTGCAACCCTGATCATAACAAATTTTCATTTTTTTCTAATACAACTTTGGTGGCAATTATACCAAATCTTTGTTTATGGCGACGTAGTTCATGCTCAAACTTGGGAGGTATTGACCCTAAAAAACTGTATCGAGCCACCTTAAAGGCCGTCCTTTCGAAGTTCAGTTTAGCTTTACAGCTCGTATCTTCTATCTGCGGGAGTTTCTTTTATATAATTGAATATAATCAACATTGCATCTCAATATTTCTATGCAAGAGCAACGTTAAGTCAACGCGGTATCGTCAACAACTAGGAAACACCTTTCTACAAACTAGTCTGAGCAGCCCGCTACAAAGAAAAAAAGTTTTTTTTTTTGGATTTTGCTAACTTTACTCAGTCATTCAGTTGTTAATTGGGGAATCATATCTATTGGGCTTCAGTTATCCAAAGGATAAGTAGCTCTATCTGATATGGATCGATCACTGCGCAGTGGATAAGTGGATAAATACTTAATGACCCACTTGATAATGGTTAATAAAGAAGGTGCTTCAGATAAATGCTACGACGGAATAAGGAATAAACCATTCGTTTACGAAACGTTAATCAGCGTAGTTGCTTTTCTAATTTAGTATTTCCGTTTATGTTCAAATTTTATTTGTAAGTTGTTAGTGAGCTTTAGAATATTGTGGACTGGACCGGCTGTAAACGCCACAAAAGAGAGTACCTCAAAAAGGCAACATTCTGTCGTTGTCAAAAAAAAACAAAAACAAAAAAGTAATAGAAACAAAGCACATGAAAGGCATAAACTCTAGAAGGTAATTTGTCATTTCCGTTGCACGTTGCCCTAATTTATCTAATATTGGGTTAGAAAAGTATTATTAAAGGGTGATCAGCAATATAACGTTACAATTGAACACAATGCAAGTAAAGCGTGTAACAGCCGGACGTGATGAATATGTGCTAGAAAAACTTACAGTTTTTTTTTGTGATTATTGTTCCATTACACTGTATCAGAATCAGTGAACTGGACTGGATACAAGTTGGCTTATGCTTATGGGCCTGACTACGATCACTACTGTTGCCAAGACCTGGACAAGGTAGATCTTCTTTGAACTTTTTACTTTTAGAGTAATACCTACCATAAGAAAGGCTGGATTAGTGCTACCACTGCTCAACACTGTTACCCTGGTTCTTTACGCTCCTTTTTGCAATAGCTAGACAACATAAAACTGGACAAAGGCAAAAACAGTCAAATCTCCCATAAGCGACCACCCCAAAAATGCGAAGACTTAGTTGTCGCGCTTTTGGGCGCTTACCAGAGTGAGGAATTTTTTTTCTTTTTTTTTTAAGCAAAAAAAAAAATTTATATATATATATATATTAATGACTTCACAACATCACATAAACGTTACAAGAGTCAGGATGTATTTCACATGGAGAAGTCTGGACGCATCTACTTTTTGAGAGAATCAATGGTATACAATTTTTATGTTACAATATGAGTAAATCCATGTTGAGTCCGTAAAGTTTTTCTCATACTCTGAGGTGTAGTACATACAGTGAACACTATGATCAGTTGATTGTATCAAATGGTCGCTTACAAGAGGCTAAAAAAAAAAAAAAAAACAAGTCAGTAGCCCGCAACATCACAGCCTGTGAACTTCTTTTTACTTCTGGTTCTGTTAATCTACCTAACTACCTACCTAATAAATGCATTTGAATACGTTTTCGTTTTTTTTATTACTTTGTGCCGTGAAAGTAAATTTCATTTGCGCTGCTAGTGTTGCCACAGCTTGATCCGTGGAATCAAGTTTTATTGTATGAGTTGCGCCAGCTTCTAATTTTGTTGTTGTTGTTGTTGTTGTTATTTATTTGGTTTTATTTCTCTTTTTAGAGGATTATAGGTATCAAAAACAACAACAACGTTTAAATCTCATTATTTTTTGTTTAGGCTAGTACAGATGTGATAGTAGACAACTCTTCACACGGTTTTGTGGGAGGCGCCAATCAATGGATTTCTGCCAAGGTATGCGGAACAATACCCAAGAGATACAATTTCGTTTTCTTTTTCCTTTCTTTCTTCTCCTCGTATTCTTTAATTAATTATTCTTTTTTATTACTTTTCTTTACATTTGTTTATTATTAATTTTTGTTTAGAGTTAGCTTAGAGTTAGTATCACAGTTTAAATGGTCCCTGAAGAACTTTTTTCCTTGGATGAAAATCAAATTCCATCATTGAAAGACTTATATATAAGGTGTTCTACCGTTTAGAGCGCTAAAACATACAAGCTGCATAATTTGAACAAAAATGACGGCGTTCAAAAGATTGACTTCCTCTTTGTTTACACAGGTGCTCTCTCTACCACTTATATCCAGTAATAAATTTGAGTGGTTTCAGGGTAAGTTTTAGTATTCTTCGCTGCTGCTCTTTGCGCTGTGACAAAGCGTTTCTATAGTGAAGCTTATGCGAAGGTGTGGAGAACTGCGTCCCTTGAGGATAAGAAAGATTGAGAAATAATACATACGGATCTATGCCTGTCACCATGGAGTAGTGATGATAATGACCAGGAGCCCATAACCCGGAGCGTCTAACTTCCATACTGCGCCTATGCAACGGAGTTTTAACAAGTAGGTTTATTTTTAGATAAGCCTTACCCGCGAATTGCTTTCGAAAAGCCAGTCACAAGTGTAAAACGATATTTTTGGGTATAAGTTAATACCAAGATGAAAATACCTTTATCGATTAAGGAACGTTAGTGAATCATCAAGCATTGCTATTTTAAAATATTTTAATTATTATTATCACTAAGTAGAGTGTTTTGAATTGTTATATAAACACGTTCTACTAAAATGTACTGGGCTTACAAAAGCTATTTGTCTTTCGTTAATAAGGTTTGCCTTTCTCTGTAAAGATGCTCTTTCGGACATCGGTTTCTCTTTGCACACGTGCCGCTATTCAATTAAGAAATGATGCTTTTTGTTTAAACTGAGCCCACACAGAGGTTCTTAATCTAATTAGTTCTGGTAAATTTAACGACATTTGTTTGTTATCTTACATTAATTGGCTTAATTGGTTTTTCCTAAATCTTTAGAAGCTTGGCCTT